GAAAGAGTAGGTCCCTCCTGGGATAACAGGCAAAGCCCGGGCCTCTTGCACCCGGTGGATGGAGAATTCACCTTGCAGCAGCTCTTCTCCAGGGGCTAGCCCAGGGCTGGGTACTTAGTGCTCAGGCCTCTAGAACTGCTCAGGTCCTGGAAGTCCAGGGAGTGTGGAAGGGCTTGCAACGTGGGGCGGCATGGGTCTCTTGGCTTGGCTCTCCACAGACCCTAACAGGGGGTCAGGAACGTCGCTTCTGCTGCTGTCTCCCACCCTACCTGCTCCCTCCCAACAAAGGACACTGAGGTGTGAGTTTTGTCTCAGGTCCAAGACAAAAAAGAAAAGTAAATCTCCACACCCATGCCTGATCTACAGAACAGGCATCCTCTCTTCATGCATTGTAGGGACACACTCACCACAGACCTCTGGGGAAAGCTGACATTCTTACAAGGAAAACTAAGTGCAAATTCTAATCCTTAGGAGAGTCATGCTTTTTTCCTGTGGTTTTACTTGCTTGTCCCTCTATCTCTGCCAATTTAGAGTCAGAGACATCATGTCATGTGATTCCTGTTAGCACCGGGCTCTGGCTGTTGCTGCTTTTGCTACCCACTGCCCATCTGCCGGCTCCGAAGGCAACTTGAGCGCTGGGTGGGGTGGGGGAGTCGCCACTGAGATGAAAGTAAGAGCTGGAATATTTGACTGGACTTGGTACTAACTGGCAATTTTATTACCCTAAATGTCCTGGAAACCCTGTTGCCTCTGGCTCGAGAAGATTCCAGGCTCAGTCATTCCGGATGGCCATCTGCAGTGAGCCTTGGCATCCTTCTGTGAGTGGCTATGACGTGAGTCATGGGGCAGTCTCCAGCCAGGCTGAACACGAGGTGAGCATGGCAGAGGAAAGCTGTGTCTGCCCCTGTGAGGGGCCAGAGGCCAGCAGGCTGAAGAGGGCCACTGAGTCCCCGGGGCTGTGGTAGGCACTGAAGGGTCAGCAGCAGTGTGCCCAGGAAGGATGGTTTTGCCAGTCCAGGCCCCAACAGAAGTGGCCCTGGTGTTCACTGCTGGGCAGGGCCTGGAATATGAGAGCCAGATATTGCCTCAGATGGAAGACCAGGCTAGATTCTCTCTGACATTCCTCTCACTTAAAGAAGTGGTAGGGGGGAACCAGCAGTTAGCGTAATGGCTATGTCACTGGACTCCCACGTAGTCGACCACAGTTCGCGTCCTGGACCCGGTGGCTTAAAACTCACTCCGGGCGCGTGTGTGTGCGTGCCCAAGATCCCGAGAGGAGAATGGAGGAGAAGGGATTGCGGCGTGACCATCCCCCCTGGGGGGTGATTTCTAGCTTTCTGTCTCTATGTCTCTCTCTCTCTGTCTGTCTGGCGAGTGCACACGCCCTATAGCGAAAACCTCTCCAAAAAAAAAAGAAGTGGTAGGGGAGGAGGCAGCAGGTGGCATGGTGGTAAAGGCACTGGACTCCCATATGATCAACCACAGCTTGAGTCCTGGACATGGTGGCTTGAGAATCATGCTTGGTACATGTGTGTACATGCCCCAAACCCCAAGAGAATGGAAGAGAAGGGATTGTGGTATAGCCATTCTCCCTGGGAAGTGATTTCTCACTTTCCCTCTCTTTGTCTCTCTCTCTCTGGTGAGTACATGCACTGCATAACAAAAACCTTAAAAAACAAAAAGCAGTTGGGTCCAGATAAATAATTCTTCCCCTTTATCAAATCTTCCCTTTCATTCAGTAAAGGAGCCTCAGGCATGTTCTTGTGGTAGTTTATTAATATCACAAACAAAGCATATTTCATTTTTATTGGAATTGGCCAAGTGAAATGTTCTATACAAGGCAAAACTTCCACCATGAAATACTCAAATTATAAAATAAATAAATTAGTTCCATTCAACATAACTCTCCAGCTGCCACATACAAACAAAGACGTTAGGTATAAATTAAATAAAGTAAAATCAGTAGTTGTAGGATGCTCTGTTCGGTCCGTGTAGATCGCCTGTTTGTCCCCTAACTCTGTTCTGGACTCCCACATCTCCACCTCTGAGGCTATGGGGCAGCCCATCGGGACTAGCCCTCATGGGAAGAGCACTTACGGGAAACTTTCCAAATCATGGTTGGCTTTGAGGACCATGATTCAAATGATGGTCAAAGGAGCAAAGATCAGCAAGGTGAAAGCCCAGAAGCTTGGGCCTCTTATCCACCTCGTGCCTTCTTACGGTTTACTTGGATATATGGACACTGGTAACTCAGAGGGCAAAAAGCAAGGTGTGGCCATGGAGTGTCAGTCAAAAAGAACAGTTGAGTCTGAACCCCGCAATGTGGCCAAACTCTTCTTTGGCCACAAATCTATTACTAAAGTATGAATCATGAATTGCAATTCCCAACACGGTTTTAGGCTTTTACCAGGGAGTCTGGTTTCATTCAGTGGGTCAGTCTAATCTAAACCTCCTAATTAGAAAACAAGCCTTCTGGGAGGAGAGTTCAGGCCACAGATGACAGATATACAAGGCATATGTCCCTAATCCCCTCTGCAGGCAGGGGATTACTAACTGATCACTGCACTCTGGTCTCAGAGTCCATCTCCACATAGCACGCCAGGCAGCCCCTACCAGTCCGTTGTGTTCAGTGTTTGAGATGAAAAGTCTTTACTAACCTCGGTCCTTCTCTGTGTGCTGAATTTACTTGTGTAAAGCAGTGTGGAATAGATATAACACAAGCATTAACCCCCTATGAGCTAGATGCCTCTAGATGAATTGTTTAACCTCTTCAAATTGGGATTGATTAATTTGGTAAGGCAGCCTAACTTGGAACTTAGAAGGGTTAGGATAATACATGTGAAGTACCCATGCCAGGCACAGAGTAGGCATTTAATAAGTGTAGCTGTTATCATCATTGCGTTATCATTTTGATAATGATGTTGAGCCAAGTGAAATTGCTATTCAATTGTTTTTGACCTACTAAGATGGCAATTTCTTCTTACTCAACTTAATCTTAATAATGTATTTTATTCAAATCACTTCCTTGTTCCCACTCTTTATCATTCTTCCCTTCAAAGGTTACCCCCCTAGACATACTCCTACCATTCAAAAACTTCCACAGATCAATTACTAGAGTAAGCGAAGTAGGGAGTCGGCTGGAGAGATGTTGAGGACACGTGTCCAGTTCTCCCGCCTGGACCTAGTTGCATAACCTCTGAAGGCCTAGATTTCCCCATATCTAGCTAGGAATAATTATGCTTCCCACAGAGGTTTTGCAAATATAAGAAAAGATCAGGCCTAGCCAGGTGGTATAGTCAGCAGCAAACTGAAATACAGTGTTGGAAGTCACATGACTGACCATGGGTTTAGATCCTGGGCTCGACCTGAAAACACACTACGCACTTGCAGGTGCCCAAGATCCAAGGAGTTGGAGGACT